TCCCATTAGGAAAGGCAATTATTCCCATTCCCCCGTCGATAAATGCATCTAAGGAACCACGGAGCTTTCCTGCTTCTGCTAGCCCATCTATTGAGAGAAAGCACAAACCTATAAAGCCCTTCCTAGCAATAGTGGTCGAAGCCATCTCTTTCCTATTCTTTTTCAAGTGCCATGTAAGGAAGCTATAAAATGAAGCAGCATCTGAACCTCCCCCCTGCCCGGGGGACCCCCATCACTAGCTCCATATAGGACCCATGGAACCATCCGATCTAGAGTGAGCCTCAAAGCACGATCTTTCTACTTTCTTTGGGATGCTAGCTATGCTTCTCATAGCCCTCGAACTATTAGGACGGACTGGCAAACTCGATCTTGAAATGTATCTACTAAGGCATTTTTAGTGATCTCGACCGAGGACGACTAGATCGAAAGAGGAGAGGGAGAATGCTGGATCGCTAAAGTTCTATCTCTATCTCCCTCGAGCAAGGATGGGAACAACCAACTACTTATGTATCATCACGTGTGCGTCACGTAGAGGCAGGGGCAGGAACAGGAGCACCGGTAGAGGTAGTAGCTTACCATGAACCAGTCTCGGGGATGAGGATAGCAGCAGAGCTAGGTGCATCGTGTGGTCATACAAATACGTATGTCCCCTTCTGAATCCCTATCATGATTGCGCAGGACCGACCAGCCCACTTACTCAACTAAGTGAACAGATGTTAATGGGACGGAATTCTAAGAGTAGACTATTGGATTTACTGGTACTGGATCGGTTGCTTATGCACCTGCTGGAGAGGGAAGGTCAATCAATAGCATCGACTGGCACCGACTAGATGAAGTTTTCAACTGCTTAGTCAATCGCATCAACGGTTCTTCTACTGATACAGAAACTGGGTGAACTACAGGAACTTAATGAACTACTCGTGCAGGGAGCTGCTACTGATAATACGCCTTCGCCTTTTGCTTACTGGGTTGAGTGGGAGGCTCTCACACACTCGTATGTATGGATTTCAAGTTTGTTCTTCCCCACCCAGTGTAGAAAACCCCTGACCATCTAGGGGCGCTCCTGAGCCCTTACTAGTAAAAGGGGGCTTGAGGTTCAGGATATGAAATTGAGCAACTTGACGTAACAGAAAAAAGCGTAAATCGAGTTGAATCATAAGATCTAGTTTCATTCCCAATTGAGAAAATGTAATTGTAAAGGTCGATAGCCTGTGGCTACCTCAGGACTATCTGACTACACGAATTACACTGAAAGTTATAGTTAGAATACCTATAGCATTTAATTGCGTGAAGTAGTCATTAGAAACAGTGCCTAATTGAATCCTACCTATTCCAGGCTTTTAAACTACTTGATTTAAGAGTCGGCAAACCAATTATAGCAAAAAGTAGCAATTTACACCAAAAAGACTTGGGGTTAATTGAACCTGTGAAGATTCAAGGCCAGCTCTATGAGTTAAAAATGTTAGTTACTCCGTTCACTTTGTTACTCGCCCTGGTTTGCTAAGAGCTCTTCTTGCACAACAAAATTCTTAAGTAGCTCAATACTAAAAAAGGTGTACCCTGGCAGGCTCAAACATGGAAAAGATATACCTGGCATTTGTGTTTATAGTACAAAAGCTCAGACACTATCCCCGGGAACATACCATTTGGCTTATATCGAAAGCGGATCCGTTGAAGTATTTGCTTTCGAGCCTTTCTTAAAAGATAAGTACCAAAAGGTTATGGATTATCAAAATGGTCTATGATGTTTCCCTAATGTTGTGAGGCAAAGGACAAGCATTAGTTAATTTCTTGGCAGCTCATTCAGCTTCAGATGACACTCCTTTGTCAGATGAGCTACCTGATGAAGAAGTTTTATATGCTAAAGTTCCGTTCCCCTGGAAAATGTACTTCGATGGTTCATCCAGGAGCAGGGGCAGGGATGAAAGCAGAGCTAGTGGTGGCCGAGTTTTATAACCAATAGTAGATTGAGTTCCAGATAGAGATTATGTTTCTTCAATAGAAGAACCTGTTTTAATGTAACAACACCGCCAACCACTAGAAAGGCAGTTCGAGATGCAACTAACTAAGAGTAGCAGATTCAATTGTTTATCTGAAACCAGTCAATGAATCCATCGTAGCATTCCGTCGAGGAGTAGCCAGAGTTTATTTTTAAGTTGATTCAGTACTCCTGATCGAGTCACTCATCCCTCACTCAAGTTTTAGTTGTTATTGTTTTGTAAGCATTCGAACCAATTATAGTCTCAGTTAATACTGTCAGTGAACCAGCATAAATTTCTCGAGTTTACCTATAATGGGACGCATCTCTTACTAGCCCTATTGATTGACTTTTATCCAGGAAAAAGGGATAGGGTTCGGTGTGCTTTTGACTCTTTAAGGCGAGGTGGGTAGCTTTCCACTATACTAATTATGTAAGTGAAGCGGGGGCTAAGTGGCAACCCCGGATCTCTCGACATTAAGAGGTTAGTAGTGGAAGGGCCTAAAGGCAAAGCATGGAAAGCGCCGTAGTCTAATATGAATAGCCCCTCCTTGGAAAAGCAGGGATAATCGTAGACTAAGAAGAGAGGAAGCAAACACATTCTTTTAATTGGACAGCTTTGTTAGCAAGAAGCGATTAGCGGAACTCAGTTCCACTCTTATGAAGTATATTCTTATATAAGCAGATGTGTGTGTAACTTGATCTTCTGCTATAGAAAGAGAGCCCGTCCTGATACAAGTCAGATACTTAACGCATGCAAGTCGAACGAAGTGCTCTTGGACGACTCTTTAAGATTTTGTAAGTAACTTAGTGAGTGCTTCGTCTCTGCTTGAAAGCTTCCCATTACTCATCTATAGGGAGAGTAGGTGCTATGTGACTTGGATATGCCGAGTCATCAAGCACTTGAATTACCTGACATGATAGGCTTTCAATGCCTGGGATGTCCATTAACTCAGGTAGCATAAACTCCTTAAGAGTTATTGGAAACTTAGACACAAAATCTTCTTACTTTATAGATCTATCTTTCCTTTATGTAGTAAGGACTGGAATAAGGAACAACATAAGTCTGAGTCTCTATCTTAGTGAACATCGGGAGACATAACATCTTAAGTGCATGATTGAGGGACTAATCTATTGGAATAGCTGGATCCTACGCCTGATTAAGAGAGAGCTTACCCTTCTCTAGGACAACCCTGATGTCACCCATTGGCCATCTATACTCCATCTTAGCCCTCTCGTTGACCTCTTCTCTCAAAAAAGTTGCAATGCAGGCAAGTCGATCAAAGTTCGTCCGAGCGGGGAGGGAATGTTTACGGTTGTTGTAGTACGACTTTTCAATTCCTATTTGGTTTTTCAATAACTATTCAGCTAAACCTCGTAGTCAGACTTTACATTGATTAAAGCAGCGAGAAAAGGCACCAGTCAGACCTACAAGCACGGGGTAGTATGCAGTGGCAATTTTCAATCATACAATATGTACTCATAGTCTGACTTTTAACGGTAGTCGGCTGTCCTCGTTCTCCTTTTTGAATTGCCCTATTGAGTAAGGGTCGGTGTTTGCAAAAATGTCGAGCCGACGAGTGTCTGGGTAATAAAGTCGAGAGGGTGTACTCAAGGAAATAACTCCCGAGGAGAGTGAGAATTTCATCAGGGACTTGCCATGGATATGAGTGAAACGAAGGCACAGGCCATTGTTCTATATCAATTTCTTCGTCGATCCTACGTTGATTGGCTTAAAGTGCCAAATAACGCATTCTAGAAGCCTCTGGCAGTTGAATTAGTGATCAGCCTATCTTATATGCTTTCTTATGTCTTTGGAGTGCCTAAAGACAAGTGAACAAAGTGGCCCTTTGGTAAGGGACACATGTGAACGGATTCAAGGGAGAGTTGAAACTGCTTTCTAGTGAATGAGGAGGGAAACCAGCCTTGCTCACCGTAAAATAATATTCTATAGAATAGAAGTTCCACATCATTGTGACTCTTAGACAATAATCCTATTAGAATCTCCTAACAGAGGTATGGATGTCTTTGGGGTGAGGCATGAAAGGAGGATTGCTGAAAAGTGGTTCTTTTTTCAATTTGAGAGGGCTAGGCTATTCAATTTATCTCGTAGAATGAGAGGTCCCCTCTATTTATTATTGTAGGAGCAAGAAAGCAGAAATAGATATAAAACGTGTAGGTACATATTTCTGTGTTCTTCTGTTAAGCTACGCTCCGAGAAAGGCTGTACGTAAAGGTTTGAGCAATGGTCGGTTGATAGGGGTAGCACTCGGTCTACTTGATTCGGGGCAGCTCCTTAGCTCTCTTTTTGGGTCGTTTCCACGGCCGAGGGGGTCCTGTCATCGTGGGTAGTGAATGGGGTTAGATGAAGCAATATCGAGAGGAGCGTACATCAATACATCAATTTGTATGCAATTTTTTTCGTTATATCGCTACTTCGAAACCGTTCATGGGCATTGCCTTATCGTGCGATATAATGAGAGGAAATGCCCAAGTTGACCTTATATTATAGATTATAGAATTAATATAATCTATTAGATAAGATAAAGTTTACATAACTCTAAGCCCTCAAGCTTTCGCGTATAGCGCGCGGTCTTGTGTAAAGCTTTGTGTGTGTTTTGCATGCACGGCGTGGTAGAAGCATCAGTGTATGACACGCTATACGGCTAGCTCCTTGGCCAATGGGCGAGGGAGGTAGTTAGAACACATAAGAAGAGAAGGATCCTGAAAGCCTGTTTTCCAACTAGTCCAAAAGCCAATTACCAAGTCCATTTCAAAGAAAGGATTTCAGGGGTTGAGGATAGAGTTTCCTTTTGAATTTCAAGGTTAGTGAGACCATAACACATTACCTCATAGATTAGATTGATTGAGGATACTTTCTCATGTCACATATACCGTTTGCATTTAATAACTGATACAATTGAAATCAGATCCCAAATCAATGCTTTCTTTGTCATCTGAAGAATCATGGATTCTCTTCAAAAACTCCCATTGGCCATTCTTGTTGCTAGTTTGGTTCTATTCATCTTTTTGGGTCACCACTAACTGACCGATGATCACAAGTATCACCTACCCAATCAGCTTCTGAATAGGCAATAAGAGTGAAAGGTCCTCTAGTGAACTGAATACCAAGTGTAACAGTCCCTTTGAGATAAGGCAAGATACGTTTTACTGCAGTAAAGTGGTCATCTGTAGGAGATTGCATGTGTTGACAAACAGAGTTAACAGCAAAGGCCAAATTAGGTCTTGTAATAGTTATATACTGCAGGGCTCGAACGATGCTTCTGTACAGAAATGGATTGTGAAATGGAGTAGAAGAAACTGCAGCAGAGGACTTTCAAGTTAATTGGAGAAGAGCAGGGCTTACAATTCAGCATAACAGCTCTCTGGAGGAGATCCAACACATATTGTTGCTAAAAATAGACCACGATCATTCTTGTCTTGAGTACCTCAATGCCAAGAAAATAGTTCAAGTTCCCGAGGTTCTTTATAGCAAACTGAGCACTTAATTCAGTGATTAGAGTGGAGATATAAGAGGTATCACTACTAGTTATAATAATATCATCCACATAAATCGCAAGAATTGTAGTTCGCAAACTATTAGTTTGAATAAATAATGAGGAATCACTATGGCTCATAAGAAAGCCTTTACTGATTAGAAAGCTATAAAACTTATCATACTAAGCGCGTGATGCCTGTTTAAGACCATACAATGCTTTCTACAACTTGCAAACATAACCAGTCAATGAGGGATCTTCATACCCAGGCGGTGAGGAATCTTAAGGGGAGAGGTTGGTAGTGAAGGGAAGTCCAGGCTGTGTCTGATTAGCTTACTGGGAGAATTCCAGGTGAGGGAGTATTGGTAAGGTTATGGAGGAAAGAGGAAATAGGATTTTGGGCATGGACAGGGAAAAGATGAGGCTCCTCTTTTATTTAGAAGCTGTTTGTTAGGTAGCAATGTTTTCAACTGGAGAGGAAGGCCCTGAAGATGAGCCTGAGGTATCAATCTTTCTCTGTTTGTAAAGGTTTGGAAGAATTTTATCAGAGCGGAAAGGGTTGAACTTGGATGGATTGTTCCAAGGGGCTGGAGAGTTTTTTAGACTGGATATGGTGTGAATGGCATTGGTTGAAAGGAGAAAGGTATGCTCGAAAGATAGGTAGGTGGTGAGTGAAATTGAGAATTCAGAGATAGAGAAAGAGAATTGGACTGCGACTACACTGGTAGTGAAGTGAAATGATAGAAGGTGCGTGAACCAATAAATGTATTTTATCTTTCTCTGTAGCTAGATGTGTGGCAATGGTTGGTTTTGTAATCAAATACCTAAAGCAATGGGAATACCTTAGTCAATTAGCTAAGGGAATAGGGCTGTTACCGAGAAGCGGAGTAGCTCTTAAACCAATGAGCTTACGGCCTAAGAAGGCATTCCTTCATTCACTGCAAGTAGCTTCCAAGCGTTCCTAAAGTTCAAGTGGATAAGGAAGGAAAAGAGAGTCTTAGATTGGATCTTTTTGTAGCTAGATCTTGCTCCTTTAGTTTCTGGAAAATAAAATAGCAATGCTATGTAAATAGCTGATGGAATCTTGCTTCTAGTCGCCGAGCTGAGGCTAGATAGAAAGTGAAACCTAGGTTGTAAGAAGGACTTGGGAAGAAGTAGAGTATGACTTTAACGGTACTTCTAGATCCACAAGGTTGTCAGCTTGCCCATCCCTCCATTCCAAACGAGAGGAAGTAATGGGATAAGGTCCACTCTCCCCTACTAGTTGCTTTAGATCGTTCGTCTGATGGATATTCTCGGAACCATGTTCAAGTTGGTCATGTTAACTCTATTTTTAGTTCTGCTGGGCTGGATTGACTAAATCAACAAATGGAAATCGAAGTTCTGTGTTAAACTGCACATAGAACACAAGAGTTAAGGGATCCTACTGTCCCATTTCAATCTCGAGACTTTTTCTCAATATGAGGTGATCATCAGATTGTATATAATCCGGGGTCCTCGGACGTTTTTTTCCACCAGCTTTTCGGGTTTACTGGGCTAAGGTAACTATGAAAGGTAGGACCTCATCTCATTCCATCGATTGGGGTTGGCTTTACCAATCTCAATATGAAAAGATTCACTATTTCCCTTTTCTTTCTTGGAAGGAGAAGTGCGGTAACCCCTCCAATCAAATAAAGTTTCCAAGCCTTCAAGCCAACCTCGTCCGATAAGGAGTCCTGCCCCGTTAAGCCCGCCTTTTATTTGAGAGACCCAACAACCGACTTTTAGCTTAGCTACATGAGAACCAAGCTACTGAGAGATCTCTACATATAGTAGGAAAGCCAGCACGCTCGGTCGGAGATAGCTGCTACTTACCTACGACTACTCAGTGGTCTCAGAGACTGAACTAATCTATTAACACTTAGCCTTATCTATTAAATGAAACCTAGATCACGAGAACAGAGGCCGAGTCTCTAGAAGCTAATCCAGTTACCCCCTTCTGTAACCAAGAAGGCTTCTCTCTTTGACAACCCTAATACTACACATGTGTCATATATATGCGTGTAACATGTTCATATGTTCATTCACATGTTCACATCAGTGGTAGCTTAAACAAATAACAATTTATCCCTTCTCTAATAGCACATCTTATTCATGTTCAAAGCAGACTATCTTCATGCTCATTCAATAGCAAGTTGACTTCATCCTTAGGGATAAAGCTCTTATTGGACAACTACGGGTAGATTTAGGGAAATAACTTGATTGTTCTTTGACAACAGAATCAGTAACACAATCGGAGTGGAGCGATCCCTGAAATCATAGGTTCGATGAAGAACTAAACCGAATGATCGAAAGACAATAACATAAGGGCACCTCTATAGACGTGAAAATCGAGTTACAGACCCCAATGGACGCGTGATGAATGTGAGAAGCATCTGCCCTAGTAAGCCTATATGTTGATGAATGGGAGGGTAGCAAACAACATTCTTGAAGATAGGCTATTCGACCTCCTTACAACTCTTTTTGCTAGGTTTCCAAAGTGCTTATTCTGCCTTACCTTATAAGATTAGGGGCAATGAAATGTATTCAAGAGGATCAGACTTGAAAAGTTCAAGCTGTGGAAGTTTTGATCTTCCCATAAATCTATCTTTTAATGGTGTCGATAGCCCCTCACGTCATGGAAAGTGATCATAAACGTTTTTCGATCTTTAATGCTCTGTTCTGCCCCTTGATTACTTTCTGGGATGACAGCAAGTCTTCTCCCCATTGGTGAGATTGATCATGTTCCTTTGTTCTTTATCCAACACTCGGTCAATGAAGATAGATTCAGGGCTAGCTCTCTTAGTCCCATTCCTGATCAAATAAGATCCCAAAAGAACGAACAAAGAATGGAAGATAGCATCGTGTATCGAAAGGGATCCATGTTCCAGTAATTGGTGTCAAAAGATATGCTTTATGGTCTATGAAGATAGGTTTGTTTCTGTCTTTCTTTCCTAACTAACAGGAAAAGAGAGAGAGTTCAACTCTCGTTCTATCCATGTTCAGCAATCCTTGTCCATGCTGGAACTATTGTTGGCAATACCGTTCAACTACGAGATGCTTGAAAGTCGATGTATCAATGTTCCCAAGAGTAGCATCGAGCCCTAAAACGGTAAGCCATGCTTCAAGCTAAGTTAGTCGAGATCTAATTGATTGCTAAACTGAAGGAACGATCTCTGTCCAAGATTCTCATTCTAAAGTTGTACTATAACCTGCCTAGCTCTCTTCTTTTGGAAGGATGGGATCATACCCATTGAAGAAGGCCCTAGGAACGCGACATTAGAGCGAAGCCCTTACTTACGCAAGAAGTTACGCGAAGGGCATGGGGAAGAAAGCTTACGATTTTTTTAGTGTGTGAGGTGGCCCTAAGAGCTGAACCAAAGTCGGCAGTTTCGAGACCAGGAGCTTTAACAGTTGCCCAGAAGAGGTTCACACGATAGTTAGCTAGCTTCAAAACTAGGGAACAGCTGAATAGCAATCTCCAGCCCAAAGATGCTCGATTGAATAAGTGAGAAGCTCTAGCCCTAAAAAGAATATCCGTGACAAGGGGACAATAATAGTTCGTAGCGCGTGTTGAAAAGGTCATTTAAGGAAGGGGGTATGAGACAAAAAAACATTAAATTTTTTTTTATGCCTGCCAGTATTTGGTTTATAAATGGTAAGCAGGGGATAAAGATAGGATGGAGTCTAGCCCTGGAGTGGATTTTAGGACTAAATCCCCCTTTTCTTTTAGGTTGCGTATTACCAGTCAAGGGGCTGATGATAGACAGCCCAAAGGATGGCAGATGAGAAAAGACAAAGTTAGTATCTGAAAAATTGATCCACTTATTCTTTTTTGCCGACCTCAGCTTTCATTCCTTTATTATACTTATACTATATGCTATTCTACTCCACGAGTCACTTCGAAACTCGAATACTCCTCAATTTAGGAGCCAGAGAGCTAATCAACCACTGAACTGATAGACAGATAAAAGAACGTTAGTCCCCTACCCTCTCTAGGGTTATCTTGCAACAAAAACCAAAAAAAAAAAAAAGGACATGGGGACACCAAAATCTGCACTGATGTTAGGGGTGAAGAAAGCCAAACATTAGAAGAACTCAATCATTCTAGCAGCGGCAAGAAATCAATAAAAACCACTAACAAGAATGACCCAGATCAAGTTACTGCAGTCCAGTCTTCGTTGGAAACTATAGGCCATCCTTCAGCTTCTAATCGATTTGCTTCTCTACAGACAGAGGAAGACACTCATGAAATGGACGAATTCTGTGAAGAATTACTGCAAGGAGCTGAGGAAACCTAGCCCATGAACCAGATTGGAAAGGAAAAACCTTATGGTACATTGACTAAGGATTCTTCCAGGGTAGTTTAGTTGATGCATAGGCAAATTTTCATAAAGAGATATTTCATAGAAAAAGTTCATTCAATAAGTGTGAGGAAGGCAATTTTGGTGAAAGAAAATGAGGAGTGGAAAGAGAAAAGCTCTATCTATGAATCAAGGAGGGGGATAGAATGGAAAAAGAAAAGGCAAATCAGAACCTGCTAAAGGTGGTCCGACCAAAGCTACTAGGGTGAATGCCCAAAGGGCGAGTAAAGATTCAATCACTAAAACTGTCTCATGAATAATGTAGTCTTTAATGTCATGGGATTAAAGATAAAAGAGAAAAATACAGAGTTGAGGGATCCCAATATCCTCCTAACAATCAAAGTTTTCAAAAAGACTGACGAGATGTGAACTCTTTGCTGCTATAGATAGTCAAAACTAATACTTGCTTGGGATTCGTCTGCGCCAAGCCTCAGGGAGTAAAGTAACTAAGAGCCTCGCGCTGGAGAATTTCCTGAAAATAAAAAAGAGCGCTCATCCATAGTTTGGTTCCTGACTTGATGAGTGAAAGGCTTGCAGTAGTATACATATATAGGGCTATGCCCTTCGGTAAACATTCCTTTAGCAAGTAAGCTCTTGCTTGTTCCGTTAAATATCTCCCCTATCCATTCGCATTAACATTTCCCATTACTTTGTCTTGTAGGGCATTTCTATGTAGCAAAAAGTTTTGTTCAATCAATCTCATAGGGAGCTGAAGCAAGAAGAACTATCAATTAGGTATAGAAGTCAAACTGGAATGAT